GTTTTTTATGACTTGAAGGTGTTTGATTAGAGGTGCTTCTCTGATCAGTGTACAATACACAGAAATTTTTATGGGACAACCAGACTGTCTTGGGTGTCCTGAATTTAACAATGCAGAAGCCCCTGACTCTTGGACCAACAAGGTATTAGGGAAAACAACAAACACACTCTCATTTTACCTGAAGTAGGAATTGTGAGTGGGAGAAGTTAGATTTTGTGTGCTGTGGTTTCAAAGTTGTGATTACTGAGCCCTCCTTTAACTCCCATTTTCACTTAGTGAAGACAAAGCCCTGAATGTTTCCTACATCAGAAAGTAAAGCTGACCTCTGTTATACTTCCCAGAAACACAAAGGAAAGTGGTTTTTATGTCCTAATTACAGCAAAGTTTCAAAACTGGTTAACACCCACTGCTGGTGATGGGAGGAAAAAAAAAAAGCATGGAGCGAGGGCTGGAGCAAAGTGAGTAAAGTTCTTGTGGAGAAACGGAGGGTTTCATCTCACTTCTCATTATTTTGGGGGCTCTCTGGGAGAAAGCCGTTCTGAGAAACTTTATCATACTTGTTACTCTTCTTGAAACTCAACATGGTGGCATAAAATTAGAACAACACATCTTCTTCTAAAAAAATAAATCATAATCATGACAGGCTCAAAAATAATCCGAAGTCATGACCCAAGAAGACTGAAAGAAAACTGTCACATGCATTGTAGGGTGGGTGGTGGGTGGTGGATTTTAACCCTTCAAAAGCCTTTCTACTGATCTTTCATTTACAAGGTGCTATTTCTCAAAACAGGGTGGGGAGGTGGGGGGGGAGGGGCAATGAGGGGAGAGACTTCTACTTGTTCCTTCAGTTGCCAATAGCCAGCCCGCAGCATTGGGAACACTCCTGTTGCGGGAGGGAGAGGGAATCAACAGCAGCACAAGCAACCAACCTAATTCCATTGTATCCCTGCCCATGGCAGAGAGTTGGAACTACATGATCTCATGGTCCTTTCCAACCCAAAGCACTCAATAGTGCTATATTATTTGATATTTTTTTCCTCACATGATCCCCTTGGTTTAAAACCAAACTCAATTTGAAGGAATGAAGAGAGGAAAGAAAAGAGGAAGAGATCAGCAGGTAGGACATAGCAAAATAATCTTAGAAATAAGGGAAATTGGGTTGTAAAAGATCAGCTCCTATAAAAATGTGGTCCTGTGAAGCCCAGTCCTATAAAATCAGATGTTGGAAAAAATCTATTCTCCATTTAAAGGAAAAAAAAAAAAGGCTGAGAAAGAGAGCATTCAAACTATCTAAAATAAGCAAGAAAAACTAAATTCAGAGTAAGGCACTGTCAGTAAATGAAATGGTACCCAAAAAATTGTAAGCCATTTCAGCAATTTCATGTTGCATTGAAATTTCTCAGGCACAGTAAAGAGATCTTTCTATGAGATATACAATGGGAGAGGAAAGAGACGATATACTGACTGCACCATGGAAAACATGGCATTAGAAAGAGGCAAAAAATAGCGAAACCTGAACAGCTGATACAGAGTAAGAAAGAGAAATAGAAGGAGGAAGATTTAAACACAAAGATAGCAACCAAGAAGCTTGAAATAGGAACTTTGCTGGTCACTGAGAAACTTTCAATGAATACACAAGACGTGGGTGGCTGCAGAGACCTCTGTCCATAAGACACTGTGAAAGTCTGAGGTAACTCTGAGTCAGTTTTCCAAAGGTCTTTGAGGAATGAGAGTTTCTGCACAGCACTGAACATGGCTTTCCTGGAAAGGCACTGTAGATCTTTGACTCATATCTCAAAAAATGTAAGAGTAGGACAGAAACATGGCAAAGGCTCATAAAATATGTGGAAGAGTGCAGAGATTTCATCTCTGCTGATGTTCATCTTCTCACACACTTTGTGGAATTAGCCATCACCTGAAGTCTGGATGGGAGAATTTCTTGGACAGATATAGAGGATGGCTGCATTCTGAAAAAGTAGAAAAAAGGGAACCCTTTAAATAGAGTAACAGAAGATTGTGGAAGCTGTAAAGGATGTCTGCTTATGGATGAAAGTGTGGTGAGAAGGCAGTAAGGAGGCAGATGAATCATGGATGTGAAGTGTTCAACATCCTGGTGTAGGACGCTCTAAAACAGTGACTCAGGCCCCAGCAGAGCCTCAAGATGAGGAAAAGTTGTCAGCTCCCCTGGGCTCTGAGACAAAGAGCAGAAGAAAGCGCAAGTCAGAAACAAGTGCCCCAGTTTTCTCCAGACCTCTCAGTTTCATCTTTCTTTTATTACAATGTCTCCCTTTCCTTTATTTGTTCCCTGTTTCTTCTTTTTGTATTGTTCTTTCCTCAACTTTACCATTTCTTCCTTTCTCATGTTTCTTTGTCTTAACAAAACTGCCTTCCCTACCCCCATCTATAAATTTCCACCATTTGTAGGGTTAGAGCCCTACATGCCCTACAAAGTACAAAGACACCTTTCCACTTTGGCATTTTCTCTACTTTCCATACCTCTATTGCACTCTCTTCCTTAATTTCCCTTTTATTTTCTTAGCTTTTACATCATATTCTCCATGCCAAAACTTCAGCAAAAGATCAAAAGGGAAAACCCGGCAACACAAACTATAGATCTGATTGCAGCCGAGTGAAACTAAGTAAAAATGCTTCTGTATTAGCCACAGTTACTAACGGCATTTAATAGTTGGTGATCTGTAGTTTTTACTAGGTGAACAAGAGGTTGGAAAGCATAAGTAGAAATAGCAGGCAGCACAGTAAAAATTTCTTTTCTCGTACAAGCTTGTCCAAAGCAGCACATCTTTTGTGGGTATTTTTGTTCTTCTTTAGTATAAAGTGAAATCTTAAAGCACACTTATTGCAAAATATGGCTTGAGACATAAGTTACTTAAATTTGTATTCTCCCTTTGCACACCCCACGATGAACATAATCTCATTTTCACTTTCTGTCACTAAAAGAAGGAAGTGAGAATGACATTTGCTGATTAGAGAATTAGTAGTATTCCACACATTCTTGTTTTAAAGAATGCAATCACCCAGATGTTGCTGCTGTCAGCACAACTGCAATACTGTGCATGTTCACACTTCAGTACGTATTAAAAGCATAGTTTATAAATGAGCTGCATAACACTATGTCTGTATGGAAATATTATTCTAACATACCTTAATTGTATTCAATAGTCACATTTTATAACCTTTTAATTGACTAGTATTTAGTGTTTGGTAGTTAAAAGATTGTAACCAACCATCCATTAAAGTTAATTACCTGTAAATTGTGCTGGTCAGTTTACGTATTTCTTTTACTACTCTCAGGATGTGGTATTTTTCCAATTTCTCAATGGGCTACATTTAGAAAGGGAACTACAGAAGATCTCTTATCTGTAGCATGTGTGTTACAGAAGAATAACTCATATGACAGCAATCTTGTTAGCGGCTGTTATGAACAACATTCAGCATGGGCCATATCTTAGGCTGTCAGTGTAGCTGCTCTGATTTACACCAGCTGAGGAGTAGGACACATGTATGATTCCAAGGAATGGTAACTTTTTTAGATACATCAAATCTTTCAAGAGAAAGATTGTCAGTATAAAGCATAGTTGAGTTAAAAAACAAGGTTTCCAAGAGCAGTGAAGTAAAGTAAGAATAACTACAGTGAAGGTAGTGATAGTCCCTCTGTGTTTATCTCCATGTAGGACTCAATTTGTTCCTGTATGGAAGGACTAGTTGTAAAGTCCTGAAGGAATTCTATTAGTGCAAAAAAAAAAAAAAAAGAAAAGGAAAGGTTTGAAATTCAGAAAAAAAATGTTCAAAGAACATAATAGAAAATTAACATGCTGAAATTGACTCTTGAAATATTCTCTTATCTATATTTAATTATTTTTCTCTGGTAGTCCAGCATGGTTTACAAGCATTAGCCTTTGACAATGTGTCAAAGATTCAGGGTTTGTGGCTCTTAACATCAAACTTGATATGGGTCCTGCAGGAACATGCAGTTTCTCTGGACTAATATATGAGTTGAAGCTACAACTGAAAAAAATACAGATATTTATATTTAAGTTTGGCCTTTATCACATCATAAAAGGGATGTGGAGCTGTTGGAATGCGTCCAGAGGAGGCCACAGGGATGCTGCGAGGGCTGGAGCAGCTCTGCTCTGGTGACAGGCTGAGAGAGCTGGGCTGGTTCAGCCTGGAGAAGAGAAGGATCCTTAAAGGAGACCTTAGAGCAGCTGCCAGTGCCTAAAGGGGCTACAAGAAACCTGGAGAGGGGCTTTGGACAAGGGCCTGTAGGGACAGGACAAGGGGAATGGCTTTAACCTGACTGAAGGGAGGCTGAGATGAGCTCTTAGGCAGAAGTTCTTCCCTGTGAGGGTGGTGAGGACCTGGCACAGGTTGCCCAGAGAAGCTGTGGCCACCCCATCCCTGGCAGTGCTCAAGGCCAGGTTGGACAGGGCTTGGAGCAACCTGGTCTAGTGGAAGGTGTCCCTGCCCATGGCAGGAGTTGGAATGATCTTTAAGGTCCTTTCAACCCAAACCGGTCTGGGCTTCTGTGATTCTATGAAATACAACCTTCAACAGAGCAGTTACAGATCAGTGCAAATAATAGCTACACAGCTGGGATTTTTATTTGTGATTTCGAGGAATTCAGACTGAAAACATCTTTTCACTTTCATGCACATACACTTTCTTCTCTTGTAGCTGCATCTTGAAGTAGTCACGTGTGATCTCTTGTGGTGCACTGCTAAGAAAATAACCTTCCAATGTCTTAGACGGATTTCTGTAAGCTGCCTTCAGGAGCTCACCTAAATACAAGCTCTGTTCAGGCACCTAACCAAGCTGGATCTGAGATGATATGGGAATGGTAACTTCACCTATGGGATGATGACACAAAGATCCAGAAGCAGACACAAGACCATGTGTTAGATGGCCAGATGTACATCAGTGTTTTACCTTCTCTTTCTATCTGTATGTATGATATGATTTGAACCTTAACTTCTCAATAGTTAGCAGACCAAAACCAGTAACACCTGCTTTGTCATCAACACAGAGAAAGCTAGATCACACTGTGTTTTTTTGCTGAGCAGTGGTCAATGCAGGAGACCCAGTCAAGACCTTCCAGTGTGATCAGCAAAAGGATGCCTTCTTAGGGTAGGTTAAGAAAATTTATTTTTAAGGCAAAGTCTGTAACTTGTCCAGCTTTCAGACCTGGCCCATTTTTATGCATAGTTAAAGAAAAAGAGGTATTTGGGAACTATTGCTGCTGTTAACTGAGGAGGGGTAGAAAATGTATTTCTAGAGTTGAGTTTTGTGCTTAGCTGTGCAGAGAATCATGGTGACCACAGTCTGGATCAGTGGCACTTTGGGAATATAAATCTATTTTCCTCAGTTTACTATAATCCTCATGCAAAAAGAAGGTATTACAATTATAGTCAGTCTTCTACCTCTGAAAATTTAAAAATATATATACAAAAATTTTCAAATAAATCATCCTTAAAAATTCTTTTTTTTCCAGTAGTATTTTGTCTGCAAACCTAACGTGTACCTGTTTATATTTACAGTGTTAAAATATTTTAAAATAATTGCTAATGTTTATGTTTAAGTTGCTTTGAATGGACTATTTTTTGCTTTTTTAAAAACAACATTGGCTTATTGTTTCAAATTATATTTTGCCTTGCATTGGGAGGAAGTAAGAGAAAAAGAGGAAATTTTTGGCATTCTGGAAAGAGAAATCCCTTGATAAATGTGGAAAAGAGCAAAGGAGACAGGAAGGATAATCTTCACTGGGCTGATCTAGTTAAAAGGAAACTCAACAAATATCTTTCTAACAAAGGAGTAAGAACATTGTTCATGGACCTTACTGCAGTAATGAATAAGTCTCTACTAATGTTTCAAAACTTTATGAAGCACTAGCAACAATCACAAGCCACAACTTGTGATCAGCTTGTTCTAATGTTTTTGACACCATGTATGTGAAAATGAACATATATAATCATGATATATAAAGACCTGAAACAGTGAAGACATCAATTCCTTTTCTTTCAGCTTAACGTTGCTCTTCTGCCAAGTGAAAGGAGAATTTATCTTGTGTAGCAACTTATATATGGAAGAGAGAGCACTGCAGAGCTAAGTGGTTCCTTTACGTGAAGTTACATGATCAAAAAACAATCAGAACTTTTATTTCTCAAATTAAATATCAACAAATTGCACACAAGGTGAGACTCTCTTGGAGAGCGTTTCCAACGTCCTCACACAGTTTTCTTACTTACCAAGTCTACACAATTCTTTCAGTTCTGTTTTCAACAGGTCTCTGTACTTTTTAGCCAGAAGATCCAAGGCAAAAACTGCTCAAATACTATGTAACCTTACACATCACATCTGTCTACTCTCACACCCAGTTTCAACAAATGCAAGCCATGCTGCAAATGTATCTGACTCAAAAAGTTGCTTGACCTCTGCCATGCCTCTCATAAGTGTCTGAGGCTCACTACTGTGTGGACTCATGGATTTGCTTTCACAAAGTTTTATCTGTAGTCCTTGTTGCATACCTATGCCCTAACATTTATCAGTGTCCCAATGTTATTAAAACAGTGGATGCATACAGAACTCCCTAAAAATTCTGTGGCCACATTCCAGTGACAGAAAACAAATAAACAAACAAACAAAAAGAAAGGAAAGAAAAGAAAAAGAAAGAAAAGGAAACGAAATGAAATGAAAAGAAAAAAAGAAAAGAGAAAAGAAAAGAAAAGAAAAGAAAAGAAAAGAAAAAGGAAAAGAGAAAAGAAAATAGAAAAGAAAAGAGAAAAGAAAAGGGGAAAAGGAAAGAAAAGAGAAAAGGAAAGAAAAGAAAAGAAAAAAAAAAGATGCCTGTGTGTCAAACCTCAGTATCATGTACATAAGTGACCACTTTTCATTGCACAACCGGCTCATTTCTTTTGCGTTTTCAGCTGTATTTATCCACCATAGTACTGCTTTTGCTAGGTCACTAATTGCCTGTCACTAATTGTAGCCTACCTGAACACTGCCTAGACAAATGAGACCAAATTATGCCTGCCCATCTTGAACAAACTACATTAATTTGGTATAAACTGGATTTAGTTAACTATAAGTCTAGATACAAGGTGGTTCATTTAATTCTAGAAGAGGTAGGAAGAGGTAATCATGATCAAAAGGCTGATGAGCAAATTAATTCTTCAGAAACCACGTTTCTTTTTCAAAGTTCTAATTTTGCTCTGTAAAAGAGTAGAAAGGCAGATGCACACACATGAAATAAGCTACTGTTCCTTGCTTGAGGTTGTAGAAGTCTCTAACAGGATGATGCCAACACTTAAGCCACTTAAGCTTTCATATAATAAAAAATGGGATGAATCCTTTTTATTTCCAGTTAGCCTGACTGAACAAAAAAATTGAGCAATATTTACCTTTAAGAAGGTTGATGTTTTTCTCTCTGAGAATATTTTTGAAGGTATGTTTCACAATAGTTACTCTGGTATTCTTATTTATGCTGAATTGCTGATGTTAACATATCTAAATATAATATATTAATTTTTTTTTTTTGCATTTTTGAATGCAAGTTGAAACAAGTTTAGTGGAAAATTTATTTTGGAAATAGTTTAGTGGAAAATTATTCACAGCAATCTATTCTTTTATGGCTGTGAAAAGAGCTAATAGATATAATGCTTATTACACAAGTGTTAAAACATTTATCAATCTAAATTCTCTAATGGTGTCAAAATCCTTGGTCCTTTTTCAGTAGGACAGTCTTTGATGGGAATTTTATCTTATTGCTTATTGCACTTCCTTAGGACCAATGCATGATTAGTTCTTAATGCAAGCCACAAAATGTATTTGTTAATGGAGATTTAAGACTTTAAAGCTGGTGATGGACTCATTCAAGATGCAAGTAGGAAATTAACAAAAAGTTAAACTTAAGTTCACTGAGTCCCACGTAACAAGATCCTGCAGATTCAAGAAAGCTGGAAGAAGACAACATGATGAACATCCCCTGAAAATGTGAATAGTGCCAGTTCATAAAAACAGCCAGGAATGTGTCAGTCTGCATCTGACTGAGCTTGGTAAGTGAAGGCAGGTTAAGATCCTAATGGCAGCATGACTCTTTCTTTTAGAAAGCAGTGCAGACATAGGTGTTCTGCTTTCTAGCAGCATTAGATTTGCAATGGTTGGTTCAGCTCAGTTAACTGTTTTGATAATGCTATACTGGTTAAAGTTTTCCCAATCAGGTTCTCATGGTTTCCCAATCCACTCTACCTCCCTACTGAATGCATTTGCATGCAGTGCAAGGAGGGAAGTGAGAGCTGGAATGTGTCCCCTTACCAGCCCTGGGGCTACGTTATTTCAGGTATATAAAGCTATCTGGTCCAGCTTGTTAACCTAGGAAACTTCTAGAAAGCCTTTCCTTTTTCTGAGACAAAGACCCAAGCCAAATCCATGCTTGTTTTTTTTTTTATGTTTTAATAGTAAGATTGTTTCCAAAATAATTATACTGTGGATTTGGTTACATGACGTACATAGGAAGAGAAAAGGAAGAACACGTATGACTTTCAGTTTCCTGAAAGCCAACATATACAGATGCAATTATTTTCCCCCATTATGTTCACACTTTACACCAATAACATTGCAAGGCCATCTAACCTACCTTATAATAAGTAATGTACTCCAGCTCCCTTGTTTCTTGAGGAACAAGTAGTGTAATGAGATGGCAATATTGCAAGCAGAGGAAGGCATGCTAGTCTTGTGTCACAAAATTCAGTACTCAGGATTCTGGTGTTTGCACTGCTCTTAATTACAAGCCTTGGAGAAAAGGGTCATCTATCATGCACAGAACTCCAAGGGCAGCTTTGTTGGCTTATTAATCCCATTGTAGTATCAGATCATAAAAACAATTTGAGTGATTTGGTAATGTGATTTGGTAATGCTCTGATTTATGCGTTACCATGAACAGAAGAGACAGATTAACCATACCATGAATTGTAACACACTAATTCCTCATTGTGGCTCTAACAACTGAGTCACATGCAGTTTCAATTATTTCACATGTTTGGCAGCCATTCTTCCCAAAGGAACAATAAGCATTAACACAATAATCTGAAAGAAGCTTATTAAAACATGTGTGACATAAGTTTCGTCTATTAAAAAATATTTGACGTTACATGCTGCTTTTGTTTTAACCATACTAATTTCTGCAGTTAAAAGATCTTAATCTGAATACCTTAAAAATGCTTTCAAATTTGTCATGCTCCACTAATATGTCAGATCATTGATAGCCTAATAAACTAGTGTTATTTTAGGAGAAATTCATGAAAAATTATGGGCAGCAGGGGTTAACATGCTCGGATGGGAATGAGCTCTTCTGAATTAAGCAGTGTTTTAAATTGGATACACTCAGTAGAAGAATGATGCTACAGCCACTGCTGCTTCTAATAATGTCTTTTGCTTCACTCAGAGCTCTTCAATCAGAGATTCCCAAACACTTTACCAAGACTGTGAATATCAGACTTATATTTTGCAGGTCATGTATGCAGAAACTAAAGCCAAGAAACAAATTGACCAGAGAAACAAAAAGAATCAGTGTCAAAATTGGAATGAAATATTCTTATATTTTCTGTCCATCCTACAAACCCCAGAATTCTTTTTAAAAAAATGTCAGAGACATGCTTTCATTTGTTTTTGCAATTTACATTTCAGTCCAGGTTGGTTTGCTATTCCGTCCATTATACTAATATGACACATTGTCCTATGCCGTCTCATGAACAATGAATGAAGATGGAATTTGGACAACTTGTTCAACTCCATTGCATTGCCTGAGTGAAAAAGCTAAATAAGATCAATAGATGTGCTGTGCAGATTTTACAGTAGAAGATGCTGTGTATTCCACACGCCCTCTTCCCTCCAAGGCAGAAAGTGAGTAGTTGCCCCTGCTCAGCTTCCTTGTGAAGAAACTTTCTCCTGTGGTGGGACTGTAGCTTCTTGGAAAGGGTAGCCATTTATCACAGTCCTAAATGAAAGCATTCCTTGGACACAAATGTCTTTTTCTTCCTTTGTCTAATTACTGAGGGGAAAAGTGAGAAGGAAATGTCAAAACAGTGAAACAGTGGTGTATAGAGAGCAGTCACTTTGGAGCTCAACCAGCTTTTGTGAAGGCCTGGGCGATCTGTCAAATGGTTGTGGCATAAGTCAAGCCCTGAGGTTGAAAGGTCTTGACCTAAAGAGTGCGGAAATCAGGCAGTATAAGCAAGAGGGCTGCCAGAAGTTTCAGCTGTAGTGGAGATGAACAATGATGGGTGCTGGACACAACAAAACCTCATCTGCATAATTCAGGTAAGGAATTTTATTGAATCTGACAAGTATGTGACAGGCTGAGAAAGAGAAAAGAACATGCTCTTGCTGGGAACCTTTAAAGCTCTTCCGTTAAGGTATGTGGAAATAAATGACAGCTAATCTCTTCACTAAAAAAAAGGTAAACAATGCCATTTTACACAGGCCTCACCCATGACCTTTTCATAGATGAGGCTATCCACTTTCAGGCCAGGCCACAGAACTTATCAAAAACAATGCAGTGAATTCAGATTGCACAAGAAGGGCTTTGCTTCTCCCGGTTGCTTCAAGTAATGCTGCTACTCGTTTGGCAGGTATACTTAGCAGAAAGGCTACCACTTAAATATAGGGAGTAATGCATCATGGCAAATGGAAAATCCACACAGAGACCTTTTAGTGGAAGCTTTTTGGGGGGTTTATTTTTCTCTTTTTTTTTTTTGTTTTAATTTTTTTTTTTTTACGGTTTTGTCTTGCGTGAATCATACTGCAACTATAAATCTCAAGCTAAAAGATCATAAAGTGACAAGACAAATTTTCTGCATCATTTTCATCAATCTGTTGTTGCTTTTAAACTAACCAAAGTTTTAAAAATCCTTCATTACTTCCTCATGCCAAATTTCTGAGAATTTCTTTTTAATTTATTTTAACCACTTGTTTCCATTATAAGTCTTCTTTAGGTAAATAATAGAGTTTAAGAAGAGTATGCAATTGATGCTTTTCAAAACACAAATAAGATGCTGACCACTGGCTTTAGAAGAACAACTTTAGTTCATAAACACTAAGACAAATATGACCTTAATACACGTACAAAACTCAGAAGTAATGGTTGAAAATCGAATCTAGCCTCTATGTGTTAACCTAATAAAATAAGAAATGACCTTGAAGGCAAGCAAGAATTTTCCTTTTGTGAATATTTATGAATATCTGTATTCTTGAGAGTTCTTTCTTAGCACTGAGTTTCTCACACAAGTAGCCCTTGATATCTATATAAAGAGAGTTTCTTGCCAGATGCAGACCTCTAAGCCTGACAAGAAAACAATTTGTTATACAGGCTGCTGAATGGTTAGAAGGAAAGCTTAAAATCTAGAGGAACACAGTGTGGCTTGACTTGCAAGAGCAGAAAATCAACTCTAAAACTCCTAAAATAAATACAAAACCAAAGGTTAGACTGACTTTATTGAGCATTAGTCACAAAATCCCCAAGCACTTCTGTAGCACACAGCACACATGTATGTTTCTACCAATCTGTGGATCATTCTACCTAATGGGAAGCAGTTAAGAGTCCTGGCTGGATCAACTGTGGATCTTGGTTTATAAGCAGCCCAATGCATAATTCACAAGGCTTAATGAATATTCCAATTCATGACAGCCAACTGGCTCCATAGGTCACGCCTCCCAGTCTAATATAAATAAAGAATGAGATACTAGAAAGCATACCAGCTGAACCCTACTAAATGCCAAAACCATACATATTAATGAGGCACAATAAAAGATATACTTGAGGTTCAGGAAGCGCTTCTATTGTTTTCCAGCTTTATAGAGGAAGAGGAAAAGTTTGCAGTGCACCTTTCAATATACTGCACCGAGTGCAACATGAAGCTTCCCCCCGTGGCAAAGAGGCAATCAGATTGTGGCAACTGCATTTCACATCCAGCTTCATCAGGTCTCTGACATCCCCTGTCATTTCCACCACAATAGCGAAATCCACACTGGAAATATCCCCACCCTCCTCTCCCATGTTCCGCAGCAAGTCCCCATTTGGTAACTAAGGAAAGGAAGTACTTCAGCAGCACTGTTCTTTTATGTGCTCTGTTTAGACCTTGGAACAGGATGAATGGTAGCTTAGATGAATGCATTTGTGCCATTTTTCTTGGCCCCAGACGATGTTTCCTCACTACCATGACATCTGAACAGAAGGAGAAAACATCTCCCTTTTGTGGCAAGCTAATTTAATTTGTACTTTCTACCTAGGGGTAAATACGTTTGTCTGTCTTTCTAAGCTCTCTTTGCCCACTTTCTTTTCTCATGGGAAACCCTGCTGAGTCAAAAGCAGGATATTGCTTACTGCTCTAACTTTATTTTAAAGTAATTTAATTTTAAGCATACTCACACCCACCCTAAAGTGAAGCAACCGTAGGAGCTCCACTGGGACAGCCTTAATGACTTTTGCATGTCTCTTGTGTCAGAGACATCAAGGGCTTGTTGTTAGGGAGGTATTTGCCTTTTAAAATAAATGCTTTAAAAAAGGATCTCTCTTTTGCTGTACCCTCAGTGCAAGATGTGTTTCTTTATTTTCAAAAATCCTATGGCTTTGCACATTGACCTACCACCTTTAAAAAACAGCATTGCAAACCATTGACCTTTGCTCTTTGCTGATCTGGTGTTATATGTGATTTGACCTTGTTTTGTCTAAGAACTTTGTAAAAAGATTTAAAATAAATAACAAATGCATTTCCTTATGAAAAACAGTGGTAAAATATGACTCAGAGGACTCAGAATTTACATCCTTCTTATCTGATTTATGCATTACTTCTTTAAATAGGCAAATATATTAAGGGCATTATTTAATCCAGTACTGAAAAGTTTCTATATTTAAAAAAGCTGAAAATCTTTATTAAAAAATTATTTTTATTTTAAAAGAAAGCTGAAGTCTAAATTTAAGCATAATTTAAAGCCTATTTTGCTTATAGTGACATCTGTTCTTTTATTTAAACTTTATTATCTCATATTAAAGTGGCAATGACACACACAAGAACCTACATGTTAAAAAACTTATTGTATTTTTTCCCTTTAAAACAATTTAATTTCAGGGTTATTTCCAGGTAAATATTTTGTCATCTTGTCAGATAAGAAAAACAAAACATGCAACACTTAAAATGATAAAATATATTTCTAATACATGCTGCAATTAATATCACAGGAACCAATTTTACCTGTAGTTAGTTATCAGTTATTATTTGCATAATATTGTAACAACGTTTTTACAATGACTTGCACTTTGTATTATGATCAGAAACATATATTTCTGTCATATTCAAAAAGCAAAACATGCAACATTTAAACTGATAAAGTATATTTCTAATATCTGCAGTAATAAATATCACAGAAACTGATTTTACCTG